CATCGTGTCGTCCGGTCGGTGTTGGGGGGCCTCAGGGGTGGGGTGTCATCCTTTCTTCTTCCTTACCGACCTCTTCTTTTCAGTTTGCATAAAAAAAGTGCTTTTCTTCCCTGCTCTCTTTCATTTTTTATTTCTTTCTTCTTCCCGTTCACTATCTTTCTCCTCTTGATTTTATCCCTCACCTCAATTTCTTTATTTTTCAATTTCTTTTTCTTTCTTTTCTTTCTTTTCTTCCATTCTTACCAATTCTCTTTCTTTGGATGGGTGTAAGCGGTTAAGAAGTTGTGGTCGAGAGGTGGTGGGCACCCGGCGACGGTTGGGGAAGTAAAGGGAGACGGCCGGTGGCGCGTGGCATCCGGTGAGAAAGAATTGGGCAATGTGAGGCGGGTGACGGCGGTTGGAGAAGTGTGGGCGAGGGACGGAGAGCGGCAGCGGCTAGTCAGTTCAAGCTTTGGCTTTGGAAGATTGGTGGCAGATTGGAGAAGTATGGCCGACGAGTAGTCCACAATAGCAGTTGGGGAAGTTTGAGTGAGCGGTGACGCGCGGAAACAGATAGGTTGTGGGTGACGGCGGAGCTACGGCGGCGTATGAGGAAGTGTTGGGCGACGGCAGAATCGTAGGGGAAGGTTAGGGAAAAAGTGGTGGTCCAGGAGAGAAGAAATTGAAAAAGAAAAAAGAAAAGAAATGGAAAAATAAAAAATATTGCCACATAGGCTTCCACATCAGTAGGTACCGGGGTTACCGGCTACTTACCGCTCACAGGACGAATTTGGTTAGTTTTTTGAACTTGGTGGACTTGATTGCTTCGAAAAATAGTAGAAGGACTCAATTGACTTTTTCGTGGAAGTAGAGGGGCCAATTTGACAGTTTTCCTAATTAATGGCGTATGATAGAGCTGTTAATGTCCCCATACACACTCAAATAATTTACTCGGCTAAGTTTTAATAAGCGAGGTGCAAAAGATCTAATAGAACTCCTAACTCATTTCCAAGAATGTAATTTTCCAAAACGTGTTTCGACATGTTTTTCAAATAAGGGATATCAAACAGTTTTGTCCCTATATTGTTAAATAAAAGTACTGAGAAATTATTACACGGTTTCTCTCGATATTTTGTAAATATTGTTTGAAGCCAATACAGTAATTACAACGTTTACACCTTTTTATTCGTACACAATCATTTTACATGACAGGTGGTTTTATCTCCCAAGTTAGACGACACTAGGCAAAAAATATTTGCGTAAAGAAAATCTAACATTAGAAACAAGAAATGTGTGTAGGAAAAAAAGAAATGAATGGCACAAAATTGATTTCGATTCACACATCTAATATTACAAACAAGAAATGTGTGTCACATAAAAAGAAATGGTGCCACAAAATTGAATTTGATACACATATCATAGACATAAAGTATGTTTGACATGACTAGTAGAAAAGATACTTTTATGAGCTTATGAGTAACTATTAGCTTTTTAGCTATTGAAAAGATATTAAAAGAAAAGGGTGACAACTGTTTGACAAAAGCTAATTGTTTAATTTATTTCTGTTTGGTTCACAAGCTTTTTAACTAATGCTAAAATCTATAGACTTTTCTCATATGTCACTCGGTGTAATTTCTCAAAAAAGAATTTTTATTTTCGAAAAAACTCTTAAAACTGATCATGTGAAACAAATAATCAGAAGATTTTAGAGACATTTTTAAGAAAGAATGACTAGAATATTACTAATAGCTTTTTATTATTAATAGACTGAAAATGCCCTGAATTAATAGACTGGGTGGGGCTGTGATGGTGGTCGGTGGTTGTCAGCTTCAGCCATTATCGGCAGTGGTCACTGCCCAGGGTAGTGTTGGTCACTGGCGGGGTGGACAGTAGTCACTAAATGGGCGAACCGTAGTAATTGTGCGGATGGCGTTTGGTCACTGGACGGGTAAACATTGGTCACTGAACTGGCAGGCAGGCAGGCATGTAATTATGTTATTAGTCACTGTGTCAATTGGTCACCAGATTGAAGTCACTATGTAAATTTCTCACTAGACAGAAGTCACTATGTAAATTGGTCACTGACCGGGTGGCGATTGTAACTAGCCGAGCGACGCATGTCACTGGATGGGCGGGCTTTTTGGTGACTAGGTGGTCGGACACCGGTCAAGAGGCGGTCGGACGTTAGTAACTGAACAAGCGAACATGGTCACTGGACGAGCACCATTGTGACGTTGGTCACTGGAGTTTTGTAACTGGGACGGCAGTAAGTATAGTGAAAGTAACTAGGACGGTGGTCACTAAAGCGATAGTAATTGAGACGATGGTCAATATATGAAGTGGCAGTAACTGAAACGGTAGTAACTGGGACGGGATCACTGGAGCAATAGTAATTGGAACAATTTTCACACAAATTTTGATGTAATAATTTACTACCTCCGTTCCTAAAAATTCTTCCCGGTTTGACTTGGCACACCTATTAAGAAAGTGGAATAAAGTGGAAATGTGTGGTTGTGATTGTGTGAGAAAAAGGTAAAATGAATGTGAGCCACACAAATTGTCCAAAAAGTGAAAGTGGGAAGAATTTTTGGTAACGGCCCAAAAAGAAAAGTGGGAAGTATTTTTGGGAACGGATGGAGTAAATATTAAGATCTATATGTTCCATATTCAAATATTTATCTTGAGAAATAATATTAAAATAAAATAAAAAACATCAATTTGTAGAATTTGCAATGTTCAACTTATTCGAATGTAGTGCATTGCTAAAAAAAATCGTCAAGGAGTGCATTGCTATGCACTTGAAGTGCCCGTTTGGAGCAAGAATCGGCTGATAAGCCTGAATATACATAAGAATTCACCAAACACCCCTCAAACAGGCTTATTTGGCTGATTTTTCTTATCAGCTCAAAAAGTAGTCCAAGTCTTACTTTTTTGGCTGATATCTATTATACCACCGTTGGCTTATTAAAAGACCTCTGTATCCCTTCTTTTTTCCAGATATTTCTTTAACTCTCTGCTCCGCTATCTAGCTGTCTTCTTTGTCGGTTCGTCATCTTCCTCTAAAAGTAAATCACTTATGTTTGCACTGTTCCTTTCGAAATTTCCAGCGTATGCTGTTTTCTTGGGTGTGCTGGCATTCAAAGTATCTCATCAAGCTTTATTCTGATTTTTAGCCTATTGATATTTCAATTTTTTTCCAATTAAAAATTGTGAATTGTAATACTTGGTGTAGAAATTCCTCTGCCTTGTGTCCGGAGTCCGGACATCTTGCTATAGAATTTCTTCAAAGGCTCAATGCTCCAGTAATATCAATTGTATAACCTTAAAAGAGCAAATACCCTTTTTGGTAATTATACATTCAATCAGCCACTTTATTCAAAATATTACCAAACACTTTCACTTTAGAAATTTCAGCCCTTTCAGCCATTTCAGCCGTTAAAGCCGTTACCAAACAGGCCCGAAGTTTGACGGCATAAATGTATCTACTTATTCGGATGCAACGATTAATGAAGGGTATTTTAGACATGCAGAGTTTATTAGTCATATTTTTGGAAACTAAAATAAAAGGTCATTTTTTGTCCATTAGTTTTTTTAGTAATATTCATGACAAAACCCCCATTTTTAATAGTACAAAAGCTAAAAGATATTACCTCTGTGCCTTTTTATTTAGCCTTCTTTGACTTTTTCAGTCAAAGGTGATAAACTTTGATTCCATTATTTTAACTAATATATTCATGTAAAATTTAATAAATTTATACTTTTATGATTGTAGTTTTAACAAAGAGCATTTTCATATAATTTTTACATTATTAATATTACCATGTATAAATATATAATTGATAAAACTTGAACAACTTTGACTTGGAAAACGGTGTTTGGTTAAATAAAAGGGGACGGGAGGAGGGAATATGAGTTTATGTGTACCAAACATGCCCATAGATAGGCTTACAAAACTTGACAGACTATCCAATCTAAGAGTGTGTATCATACGTATAGGCGCACAAATGACAAATCCAACATTTGCTCCGTTCTATGAAACTTGATCACATATTGATTTTTCCTGATCAATGATAATAGATTTTGAACAATGATTTTAATTATTATGCTTGTGTGAAATTTATAACATTTATGCTTTTGCCAAAATATTTTAACAAAGAATGTTTCTATATGATTTTCATATTTAAAATAATTTTGTATTAAAAAATATTTTAATTAAATTTAAACCAAAAAATGTTAATATGATCATGGTTTAGTGGGAGTGAGAAAGTATTTGTACTACGTATTACAGTACGTGTTAGTACAAAATACGTAATATGTACTCCGTAGTACTCAGTATATTGCTAAATTTGAATGTTACAATTTACAAACGTCACTTTTCACATATTTATCGGCCGGTTATGAAAGGCTCCTCAGCCGCCTAACGAGAATTTGCCTGATATTGGACAAACTTTTTTCATGACAATATCTATCCATAGCTTTTTGTCGGTGCAGCTGGTCAATTATTTAGCACGTAAGTCGTAAATTGGGGTAAAATTTCTTTCACTCGAACTGGTTGAAATCTCAATTTCGTGACAACAATAATGTAAAAGTTACATCCAATATAATGTAAAAGAAACATTTTATTCAAAAATTGTTTGAAATCCTATCGTCATTCATTTATTCCTCCATCATTATATCAGTCAGGATGTAAGAACGTCAGAGCAGACAATTCCACCCTTTTGGGTTATGGGGTAAATTGTATTTCAATAATTAGCCATAATTTTCAATGATAGTCTATCATGTCTTACTTCAAAAAAATAAAGTTATCAATTTTTATAGATGTTTAAACAATAAGAGTTTAGCTTGTTTGGTAACCCTTATTTTCATTTGGATTCGTATATGTACTATCCAATTTCGTGAATACATACATACTCACGTCATCAGATCCAATAAGATATCCGAATGGCCCAATAATTTTGAATGGATGGCCTAAAAACTAACCAATTTTATATCCAAAACAAGAGAAGATTATTTAGTGAATACTTTATGATTGATGTGTTCTTTTTCTTTGTCGATCTTGAAAACATAACTTAAGAATTTAAGTTGATAATAAGATACCATTAGCTTTCATTACGGCCTCACAAAATTGCCTGGTGAAAGACAAAGGGCACAATACAAAAACTTTTAAATACATGTACGTGTAACTACACTAATTTGTATTATGTACATACATTCATTAAATGCCAAGGAAAAAGAGTGATAAGAACACAAAATTCATAGCAGCTTCCAGGGAAGGCAATGAAGCTTGGAACAATAACCAGACCACGAAGCTTCACACTGATCTTCTCCTCTTCCATCAGCAATAACCACACCGTCACAACACTTGCACTCCATCCCAAGCGTTGCAAAAAGCTTCACATATCCTACGTTCATTTTAAAGTAATTAAACTGTATAGATCAGCTCGAGTCACTCTTAATTACTACCTATAACCTATGTATGTCTTCCAAATTAGCACACACACATACAACTACAAAAAAATAAAGCATTTGGCATCGGTGTATAAGTGTATTGCTCATTTAATGTCGCTTCTTAACGACGCTACTTGTTGACTTTTTGTACTTCGAATCACCATAATAAGTTGGTAAGGATGTCAAATAGTTTGTAAGTGAAGTGATTTCAGGGTACGGTGCACACAAGGAATCACCACATTAAATGAAATTTCCACACTATCATTATCGGAAGTTGAACCTGATACCCCCAATCCCTCATTCATTAACCGTTGAGCTACCCTTGCAGGTGCCTAATTCAATTCATACCCGTCGATATACCACTAGCCACAACGTACAAAGTGAAGCATAGAGTAATAATGAAAATTTGTGTGGGAATTTTTCATTTGTCGATTAAGAACTCTTCCCCTTAAAATCACATACCACATAACACATATGACACTATAAAAGAACACGGGATTGATAGAGATTTATGACAAGGATTCTCCAAATTTGGCAGGGATATGCCAAAGCCGTGCCAAAAACATTTTGAGACGAAATCATATCCGTGCCAAATTTGTGTCAATTCCGTAATTTTTTTTGTACTGTGACATACGGAGTATATATGAGTGAATGCATGGAAGATGAGATTAGTAAACCAATTAAAACTTACTGCTGTTATCTTGGTGTAAGAGGGAAATTAACGGCCTTGCTTCTGCAAAAGTTGTATGTTTATGCGACGAAAGTTGGAGAACCAAAAGAAAGAGAAGAAGATAAGGCCGAAAACAAGGTAAGAAGACCATGTCTAGTGTACGTACTAGCTTATATTTTTGTAGTAGAAATATATAGAAAGAATCCAAGGCCAGCAAAGTAGCAAACTGGTGACCGTGTCTTAAACGTATTAGTTTAGTTTTTCTTCAATTGCTCAACTTGAATTGAACAAAGTATTTATATGTACAAATTGACAATTAGTCTTTGCTAAAGGGGACGTCAACGGGTCTTAATGACACTATTATTTGATCTAGAAGGTGTGGAAATGTGGAATTTAAGGGCGGGGTCTTCAATTGTAGAACAATTTGAGAAGCGTAATTTCCGGCTACAATATGACTTTATAGCATTTTATAAAATAATCCATTTATGCATTCTATTTTTATTATAAAAGGCTAAATTTTGACCTTCATTCCTACCCAATTTTTGGAATTGATGGAACTTGGAATATATACAAAATCGATTTTTGAAATGTAATGCTTAATATCACACAAAATATATACGAAGTATATATGTACAAAATCAAATTGTCACTATCTTTTTCTCCTGAGATATTACCCAAAATAGGACTAAAAGAGTAAGAAAATTCCAAAATAGGACTGCCATGTTTTTATTCTCAAAATAGGACTAATTACTGACATTTTTTGGCAGTACCAGACTTCAAACATGGCAGTATTTTCGAAACTTGGCAGTAATTATTCCTATTTTGGGAATAAAAACATGTCAGTCCTATTTTGGAATTTTCAAACTCTTTTAGTCCTATTTCGGGAACTTTCCCTTTTCTCCTAAACTAGCTATACTAATCGGATCATGATCGGGTCCTTGGCTCAAATCGGACGGCTAAGAAGAAAGAAGCAACGCATTGGGATCGCCAAATATTGCATCGGACGGCCATTATTAGGTGCTGTTCTGTTCGTCTTATTCTTATTACTTATTGCTTATTCTTATTTTATTCAGATCAGATCAGATCAGATCAGAAAAATTCAGATCAGATCAGATCAGATCAGAAAGATTCAGATCAGATCAGATCAGATCAGAAAGATTCAGATCAGATCAGATCAGATCAGAAAGATTCAGATCAGATCAGAAAGATTCAGATCAGATCAGACCAGATCAGAAACATTCAGATCAGATCAGAAAAGTTCAAACATGATTTATCACTTTTATTATTAAATTAATTATTATTATTATTAATATTGTTATTACTATTATGATTATTATTATTATATAATTATTATTAATATATTAATAATAATATGATAAAGAAATAAGATATTAATAATAGTTATAATATTTTAATATAATAACGGTAATATAAACGCAATTATTAGGAAGACTATTATTATTATTATTATTATTATTATTATTATTATTATTATTATTATTATTATTATTATTATTATTATTATTATTATTATTATTATAATATTTTAATTAATGTTAATATAATTATAAGTATTATTAATTATAATTATAATAATTATAATTATAATTATATTAAAATTATAATTTATGATTATAATTATTATTTTTATTATAATTATTATTATTATTATTATTATTATTATTATTATTATTATTACTACTACTTTTGTAATTATTTTACGGAGTAATTATAATAATATTGATAACTATAGTTACAATTATAGAGATAAATATTGTAATTATAATTACAATTATAATTATATAAGTAATTATAATTAAAAATATAATTACAGTTATAATTATATCTATATTTATAATTAGTGTAATAGGTATAAATTTTTTTCATTTTAAATTTAATTTTAATTATTATTATTATTATTATTATTATTATTATTATAGTTACGATTATTATTATAATTTTATTTAAATTATATTTGTAATTGCAATTATAATAATTATAATTATAATCATAGAAACATTCAAATCAGATCAGATCAGAAAGATTCAGATCAGATCAGAAGGATTCAGATCAGATCAGACCAGATCAGAAACATTCAGATCAGATCAGAAAGATTCAGATCAGATCAGATCAGATCAGAAAGATTCAGATCAGATCAGATCAGATCAGAAAGATTCAGATCAGATCAGATCAGATCAGAAAAATTAAGATCAGATCAGATCAGAACTTAAAAAATTCAGATCAGAAACATTCAGATCAGGCGAAGAGAACAGCTTCTTAGTCAGGCACCCTATCTGGCGGTCAAATCTAGGCAGAGAAACCGGATCCATAATAATCTTACTGTCATACTTTTTCCGATGTTGCGCTTTCCATTACAAATTAGTTGGTTCACTTACTAATTGAATACTTTATATATTCTTTATTTCATTTCCATGTTTCTAAAATTTAATTATGTTTTTTAAAATTATAAAAAAACATTACAACTAATTTATCTTTTTTTGGAAAATACTAATTGTACCCAATTAAACGGAATGACGGGAACGGGAAAAACGTAACCTGGCCTTTTGGTGTTTCTAATACTCCGTATAACGAAGCAATCAGTTAAATTTTCTAAATAAAGAGTTACTACATTTTCTTTTTGTTTAGATTTTACCTTACTAAATGCAATTGAAAGTTTTTTTAGTGGTACCTCAATTGAAAGTTGAAACTGACGTTTATTCAAGCTGATGATAATAACTTCATTAAGTATCAATTATTAAATGTGTAAGTTATACTACTTCATCCCACTAACATTGGGACATATAAGGTGGTGGTACGATTATTAAGAAAAGTGGGTTTATGTGATTAATATTGAATTAATAAAATAAGATTAAAATAAAAATGATTTTGGACGATACAAATTTCATCAAATATGGTATGAGACAATTTTAAAGAAACTGATTAAATAGAGAAGATGATGTCATCTCAACGGGGCAGAGAAAATAGTACTCCGTAATAAAATTTTCTCATTAAACAAATTTAAATTTGAGTGATATTGAGCAAAGATAAAGTTTAAATTTATGGTCCCACTTTATAAACTCAACTGATTGAATCTTATAAAAAAACATAAAACGATACTAGTGGATTGATCGAATCTGTTTAATTATGGAAAAAAAAATATTAAATACTTTTTTTTATACTGAAGTGTGTGCTAAGCGGGTACGACGACGCAATAGTTTAAGGCTTTAAGCGCGTGATTGTTATGGAGCTGAACACACAATCGTGGACGGAGGAAGAAACAAATTAAAGTGATTATTAAATTGAACAAAAATAGTGTTTGTTTAATGAATAATTGAATAGCTATTTCCGACGGATAAGTAATTCAGCTTCTAGAAGATTGAGAAAAGACAAGCGGGGGGAGACAAAACAGATGAAGACCGGTCTTCCACGTTTTCAAACACCGGCTTGGAAATTTCCTTCGAACTAAAACCGGCTGCTGCCAGTGGCTTTACAGATCCGCTCCCACCGCATTTCACATCTATGATGAAAATTTTAAGCCTAATAAAGTCCTTAGTCCTCACCTAATCAAAAACAAAGTTCTACCTTCTATTCCCTCTAAAACCACTTGTAATGGTAGGGTATTAGGACTCCAAACGGTTTAAAATGGATATTTTAGACCCCTAATTTGTCGCACTCAGACAAACTTTGGAGGGGGAATGGGATTGGGCGAGCTAAATATGTAGGAGTGTTGTAAATATGAACGTATTTCAAATAAACAAATGATTTTTAATAAATGTTTTTATCTCTACAATAGTATAAGCCTGAATATTGTCAGGGGTTAAACTGTCATACAAAAAATGTTGGTGGTTCTTAGTGCATAAGCTGATTGTACTTTCTGTTGACTTTGTTGTATATCTTTAAACTGTGCGCACTTTCCACGTTATGTCCTTACGGACGTTATGGAGGAAAACCTGTTCGCATTGTTTAAGCTTTTTAAAAAAACAAATCGCCCTTAACCTCTTTTGTCTAGACTCTTTAGCTTAATTCGTTGAAATCCTCAGGGCCCCTTCGAGTCATCTCCTCCGTTTCAACCACTCAACGTCGCTCCTCCGCAGTAATGGCCTTTCGACAGTTTGGTTTCTCAAGCGTCCTACGTTGGTCGATTATAAAACTGTGCCACAGCTATTCAGTCAATTTTCCGCCTCTGTCTTGTTCTACTCTGGTGAGTTTTTCCTCTATATTCAACCAATTTGAATTCTATAGTTGCTTTACCTGCGCATTTGTATGATTAGCACCCTGTTTTCCGCATCTCTGCTTCATTCTACAATTTTCCTCTGTTTCGTATAATTAGTTCGTTGGAGATTTTTTTGGGGTTTTCTGTATTCAAATCTGCCACCTCCCAAATTTCTTTGTGATTGTACTGTATGGACTCCCAGGTTTGTTTATGGTAGTAGTTTGGGTGGCTATAGTTGATAATTCCATCTTGCCATTGTGTAGTTTCCGTTTTTTTATTAGTGTCCTGTATCTGTTTGTTTAAATGTCCGCATGAATTGAAGTATAGCTTAACTCTCAACCCCCTATTTTGTTCAGACTTTAAAAAAAATGTTTGCATCTATACATCCAAAGTAGGAAAAAGGGTTAATGCTTATTTATGTGCATAGCTTAATTTTTAAAAATGACTCTTGTAGTCAAGAGTTTTTCATAAATAGAAGAAATGAGTTTTACATAAATAGTTTAGCTTAAGAATGCATGAACTTTTTCCATTTAGAGAATTGGTCGGCCAACTTTTCGCAGAGAAAAAAACCAGTTCTCTTGAAAACCTTTTATGGAGTTCAGGTGTATCCTTCATACTTATTATTTCGTAAATGCTATATTATATGCTGTGGTCAGAGGTTTGATTCTTCATTAGCAACTTATTGTATTCTGCCACTGATTTGCTCAAGCATCCTTTTTGTATAAGAGCATATCAGAACCATTTTTTCCAAAACAATCAATAATAATGAACATAGCTTTTCTCTTTGTCCAAAAGAAAGGAACACACTTGCTGGAGGTATATGCAATTGAGATCCAAATGTATACTGAGACTAAGAACAACAAAAAGCTCAAGGAATTAGATCACTGAGCACTCTCTATCAAGTCAGCAATCCCTCACCCGCGAATTATGGGAATCATTCGTGAATGTGGAGGTAAGACGCATATGACTGAGAGGCAATGGACAGATGCAGCTACAGACTTCTTTGTAGCAATTTGATTGATTCAGGTAACGAAATGATTTAGGA